GTCCCCCCCGCACCCCCGCCCGTCACCCACCCTGAGTCCCCCCCGGCACCCCCGCCCCCTCCGCCCTGCGGCCCGCCTCACCCAGCACGCGGAGCTCGGCCGAGGCCGTGGCGAAGTCGCGCGTGAGGGGCTTGTTAGCTCGGCAGATGTAGATGCCCGAGTGCCGGGGCTGCGCGTGGGCGATGAGCAGGTTGGTGCGGCCCAGCACGACGACATCCGCGGAGATGGGCTTCCCGTCTGGGGAAGGAGAGGGAGCCGCGCTGGAGGGGTGCCGGGGACTGTGCCTCCGGCCAGCCTTCGGGCCTCAGGAACACTTTGCCCCGGGTGAAGTGGGCACAACCGTCCCGGGTCCGAATCGCATTTCTTCCTCTTGCGAGCCCGGGACCCTCTGAGCCCTGCTGTCTCCATCTGTAAGGGGAGCTAGCCCTTACCTGGAAGGGTTTCCACGAGGGTGGAAAGAATGTGAGAACCCCTGGCACAGAGCAGGAGTATATTAATCTTAGGTCCTCCGTATAGTTTTTACGACTAAATTCGTTTCTCTCAAGAGGGACATGCTCCTTCCCTGGGGTCCCAGCCCCAGGAGTACGATGAAGCTAGGGCCGGTACAGTCGGACCAAGCCAACGATTCGAATGTGCACAGACTTATCTCAGCTGAAACGAAAACCACCTAAAAAGCCCTCGCCTTGTAGACAGGAACAGAAAATCTAGAGAAGCAATGCAAATAGCCAAGAAACACAAAAGTGTTCAACTTCATGTCATCAAAGAAATGCACTTCAAAACAGATGGGGACGGTGTGGGCTGGGCACGGTGGCTCAGGCCTGTACTTCAGCCACCAGGAGGCTGAGGCGGGAGGATAGCTGGAGGCCAGGAGTTCAAGGCCAGGCTGGGCAACAAAGAGAGACGCTGTCTCTACAAAAAAAAAAAAAAAAAAAAAAAGATATTAAAACGCAGACGTGCCGGGCACAGTGGCTCACGCCTGTAATCCCAGCACTTTGGGAGGCTGAGGCAGGTGGATCACAAGGTCAGGAGAGGGAGACCATCCTGGACAACATGGTGAAACCCTGTCTCTACTAAAAATACAAAAATTAGCTGGGCGTGGTGGTACAAACCTGTAGTCCCAGCTACTCGGGAGGCTGAGGCAGTGGAATCTCTTGAACCGGGAGGCGGAAGTTGCAGTGAGACAATGCCACTGCATTCCAACCTGGCGAC